TTTTATTATTTTCATTCATAGGATCTCGTTCACCTCAACGTTATTTTCGTTTACGAGATCGATTTTTTCGTTCATATGATCAAATAGAATTGGGTGATCAATATCAACGTGCTCAGGAACTTTTATCTGATTTTGAAGATATTCTCGTTCAAATAAATGGTGATTTTCTTGCCAAAGAAGAAAGATTTCGTTCTGAAACATCAATTAGTGTTCATGTTGAAGATTTACCTATTGAATTTACTTATGTAAAAGAATATTCTTTTTTTCATTTTAAATAAAATAAAATGAAAATTCTAAATAATTCTATTTAGACTCGAATATTAACAACAAAACGTCGAAAGATTAAAGCATTACGTGAAATAATTCAAGAAATTGAACAAGAATTAGGTCATTTATTAGTTGATAATCTTAATAATGATCCAGTTGTTGTTGGTAAGAATGATATAAAAATCAATTGATTTTAATTTAATAAATTTTTAAATAGATATTATGGACAAATGGAATCGTTTACAAAGATTAGCTCATGATAAAGATGAATATTTAAAAGAAAATCGCCTAAAATGGAAACATTTTAAACGACAATTAGAAGATCTTGAACAAGCAGCTGAACGATTTACAACTCTAGATGATTTATGTAAATAAAATAACACTATTTTTTTTTGTGTTTCACATTTTAATTTCATCACGATTAAGTAAACAACTTTTTTTTAGTACCTCGAACTGTTTATTCAAAAGCAGATGCACATCGTGATCAAGTTCAACGATTAGGTTTCATATAAAAACAAATAAATTCTTTTTTTTTGTTACATATTATTTGAATATATTTTAGATGGATTTCAAACACTTTTTAAATCAACAATGGATCTAGCTGATCAATTTAGTGATGATACAAGTTAATGGTTATTGATTGATCATCGTCTTCAATCAATTAAAGAAAATTTTGAATTTTTATTTCCTAGAAAAAACCGTGAACATCGAGAAATCAAAGTAGATATTTTTAAATATTTTGTTTTTTTTCGAATAATATATTTTCTTTTTTTTTTGTTTTTTAAATAGACAAATTTTATTCAAGCAGAAGATATAAAACATGCAATGTTAGATATCAATTTACAATTAGATCATCTTGAATCATTAAGTCATTCATTAGAACCTGTTGATGAAAGAGAAATAAATATAAGTATTTATCGTAGAAAACTTCATCGTTTTATTCCTATTCATGATGATCTTGAAATACTTCATCAACGTTTAATTAATATAAATGATCGTTTAAAATGTCTTTTATCTGGTGATCAATTACATATAACAAATGATTTAAAATTAATGTTTGATCGTTTTAATTTAATAAAACGAATTGTTAAAATCGTGTCTTCTTGATTGCGGACGAAAATCAAAGCAATTAGCATGCCGACAGTGTGGGTGAGGGCTGAAATTTTGTCCGCAATTAAGAAGTAGCCGTTAAAATTTATCTTGAACGTTTAGAAAAATGATTAGCTACAAATGATTTATATGAAAATTTTTCATCAATAAACCATTCACCAATTAGAACATCAAATAGCAATCTTCAAGTAAAATAAAAAAGTATTTTATTAGATTTATTATTATTCTTTTTTTTTTGTTTAGCGTGTCTATCAATAATTATTTATTGTCTTTATTTATTTCAATTAACAGTGAACATTTGGTTTTGTTTTGTATCGATTTTTATTCTTGAAAAAACATTTTGCTAGTTATCAGAGTTTTATCATTATAACATTCTATGGTGTCAATTTTGTCTTTTTACGTTCTTCCATCTTTTTTTTTTTACTCTTACATAAGCATGCTTTTCTTTTATGTATACGAATATATAATAGTTTTGAAAAAAATCAACAGCGAAATCATTAGTTTATTTGATTCAATTTGTAAATATTTAATTTAACTAGACAAATCAATTTATACATTGAAGAGAAATCATCAAAGTCTTATTTGTTAAAGAATGAAAAAACTTATTTGAAGAACAAACGAAACATTAATTCAATATATTTTATCCTCATTTGCAGAAAAAAGAAGACTCAACTAAACCAAAAGTATTTTTCCGGAGATCGAAAGGATAAAGTCTAGAAACGAGAATTCATCTATATATGTCTGCCTGTAACATAGTTACCATATCAAGGGGGAAAAAACTGATTCCGTGATTCCATGATTCTATTGATTCTATGTGATTCTATTGATTCTACGTGATTCTATTGATTCTATGTGATTCTATTGATTCTACGTGATTCTATTGATTCTATGTGATTCTATGTGATTCCACGTGATTCCGTGTGATTCCGTGTGATTCTACATGATTCCACTGACTCTGGAATCACTATGAATATCATTGTTTTTCTCGAATGTGATACCGTCACATCAATAAAAACATCATAGAATCATTAGAGAGATGGGTTCTGAAGATTCCTGATCATTCCAATCAATAAGGAAAACAGCTGACTCATCGTCGTAAGAGTCAATAAGTCGAGCACAAACAATGCATTCTCGATATTGCTGAATCTTAGACAAAAGTAAATTATTTTTCATTTCACAACAATCAAATCACACAATGGACCGATATCTAACCAGCCAATGAGGTTTGTTTCATTATTTTATGACGGTCAATCAAGGATTACAGACCATAAGTGAACTTTCTCGCCCGGTAATGATCTCAAAATGTTACATCTAGTTGAAATCAACATTAAATCGTGAGAGAAATTGGATTACTGTTGTTTCTCGATTTTTCATTATTTTTCATCCTGATTACAACTGCTGCCTCGTTTTCTAAACGGGAGCTCATTGTTAATATATACAGTTTGTGAAAGCTCGATGGTATGGAGAGGAAAACTCTGAAATATGGAATATCAGGAAGCAGAAGATCGTACAGATAGTAGATTTCAAGAAGTATAAAATAGTCTGAGTGTTCAAGTAGCTGACTTAAGGTTTCATTTTGCTTGCTGTACCAAACGCAAAAGATAGCCACCTTATGCGTATTAGTATCAACTCTTCCTAAAAAGTTCAGGACCACACGATATTCTATAAACTCCGTTAGGGGTATTGCTATTTGTGACTCTCAAGACGGACCAAGGATTGTGATGGAACAACAGCATAACCAAGAGTACGAGAACTACTTTACGGGACTGGAACTACATATTTCCGGCTATTTGTGTTGCCGTCCTTACCAGTTAGGCTAAAAAATGCATACATTCCCTGTTGTATGCATGGAGAGAACGTTCCGTAAGAAATACTCTGTCGCTCATACTAAGAGCATCGCGGACGATGTTCTACAACTTGCCCACACAGAATACCAAAACACAAAAACATGAATATATAAGGATGATGTTGCATTGGCTTCGGGCTAGTGCACCACTCTGAGAACCCGACCTTATGACTTACGAGCGCGACTAAGTAACATAAAGCCATTGAATGTCAATGAAATGAAACAAAATATAGTTTTTTCGTTGAAATCGAACCTGACAGGTGATAGCTGAGCAGAAATTCCAACCAGTTAAATTAAAAAAAGGCATCAATTCTTCATTTTAGCTGTAGAAGGGAGCACTCCATGCCTATCATAGATGCTTTTAGAAATAGAAGTTGTCGACTCTCTACATTTCCCTATTTCTCACTGCCTAGTTGCAATTTGTCTGGCACTAATTGAGTTCTTTGATATGCTATTAAAATGTACGCTTTTATGAATCCAAAAGAATCCGATAGTATTGCGATTATTGAGTTCTGGGAAACGATAAGTAGAATCCGATTCACTCTACAATTGCTAGGTTATAAAATTCACTACAACCTCATGTTTCCAAGGCATGGCAAACTAAAGTTAAATTTTCACTGTAAACAGAGTGTATTGATCTGTTTCATTTTGGGTAATTTTTATTCGAAATAAAGATGTCGAAAAAATCAATTTACGGAAAGTGTGGAACAAGAGAAATCGCGATACATCAAAAACTTTCTCTTTTTTCTCATTATCAATGGTGATAGAAATTTTCAATTGTAAGAGTTTTTGCACAAACTGCATCAAAGAATATTGATATCTTCATTGGCTATAGAATAGGAGTGGTCATTTAGTCTTACTTTACTAAATAAAGATAAATGAATCCTTTATCTTTAGAAAATACAGATAAGCAAATCATTGATCTTTGTCCCTTAGTATAAAGGAAAGTAAAAATAAAGGGTCACCCCTATTTTAGAGCAGTTTCAAACGTGTCAATGAGATGGGTGTCGCTGCTTCCAGTAGCCAGGCAAGTTTTCTAGGTGTTCTGACTTGGAGAATCAGATTCACTTCATTGACTTTGAAAAGATTAAGAATCGTTCTGGGCCCAATCAGTTGAAAACTACTTGGAAAACTCATTATGTGCCAGAAAATGATTAGATAATCTCGTTGATATGATACAAACTGTCAGAAAACTTGTCACTTTGTGCCTTGAGAGGTGAAAATGGGACACTCAGAAACTCTGTTTGTTGTATATGTTGCAGGGAAAATTAAAATTCAGAGCAATTTTAAATTTCCCTGAAACTTCTCTAGGGGACTTTTAAATTGTTCTAGATTTTAATCTCCCCTCTAACATATACTTGAGACAAAATGTAAAAGGGCTTCAAAAAATTTAACAAATTAATCATCCAAAACGATTACAACTTTTTATAGCTGATACGTGTGCTCGTACATTTAAACATTTCGAAAATGTGTTCATTTATTATTATTATTCGAGCAAATCATTCAATTCATTTAATATTGTTAAACTTAAGGGGCCCTCCCCCCCTTTCCGAGGTTTCTCGAGAACGGCTCGATGAAATTTTCTGAAACTTTCAGGGTAGATAGATCTCGATGAGTAGAGCAAAAGTTGTCATAGGCTCAGAATTCGAAGATGCTGTCTTTCCAAAGATATTTGTGATCCAAGGGCGAAAAATGACCTGAAGTTTTCCCCCCCGCAAAACTCTTATACTGCATTGTTTCGAGCTGAAATTTTTTCTGCAGAAACTAGGAACAAATTGGGTTGGCCGTTTTTTTTTTCTTCGAAAAATATCGTTCCTAAGGGTCAGGAGAACCAAATCACTGACGGCACTATCAAAAAATGCGATTTTTTTCGTTTTTTTCTTATAGTGCCAATTTTGTGGTACCTAGTAAAATTCCTTAAGAAGAATATTTTCAAGAGAAAAAAAAAAACGGCCACCCCAAATTATTCGGAGTATTCACAGTAAAAATTTCAGGTCGATTGATTGCGGTGCGGGAGGAGAAAAGGGGGGAAAACTTCATTTTTGTGCTGAAAAAACTGATTTTGAGAAAAACGCAAAGAAATTTCTGTTTTTTGGTTTTTTCAGCATATTTTGTGATTTTTTTCGAAGTTTTTTATATATAAGATGTGGATTTTCAGTTCTCAAAGTGTACTCAATGGATAGAGGGCATTTAAATCTATATACTAATCAAAAAAAATGAAAAACAAAAAGTGTGAAAATTTTGAGTCGGGAAAGGGGGGGGGGTCCCCTTAAAAAGCTTATTCTAATGTGAAATACAGTACATCGTCAATCCCTCGATTCTTTTGTTCTAATGATAATATGCACGACACATGTTGTATGAAGTGCACATATCATTTTATTCTTTCAATCGTCTGTTCAACTACCATATTAGTTTGATATATACATTGATTTGATCATTCATGGAGAATCTGGTACACTATTATATCTTTTGACAAATTGTGAGATATAATGTTGAGTTTTTTCTAAACTTGGAATTCAACTATTTCGTAATTTTACGTGCTCATCCTATTCTCACTCTATTAGATGAATAATAGAATCGACCTACTGAATGATACCTACCAGAACACTCTTTCTCTGCATTAGATAACAAAACCTGTCATTTCTAGACTACGTAGTTAGAGTGTACAGAGTTTCAGAATGACATAACCATCGTTAAAGTTTACACCCCTTTTCTCGTTACTATAGAAACCTACCAAATAATCTTTGACTTTCTCCTTCCCTTCTCATTCGCCATTGCTAGAACCCAGAAGTTGCAAAAATTCTCGATTTGAACTTACACACGTGTATGCTTCTGAAGAAAATATACACGGGCTTAACAAAATTTGTTTCTTTGTTGTAACATGATGAAATTAATTCTACTACTTGGTAAAAAACGACAAAAATCTTATTAACTGCTGCTAAGTGATGAAATGTGCTCGATCCAGCTTGATAAGAAGCATAGGCATGCATTTTTTTAGGTGTTTTATTGTATGTGATTCCAAGTGATTCCATGTGATTCTGAGTGATTCTGAGTGATTCTGAGTGATTCTGAGTGATTCTATTGATTCTGTGTGATTCTATTGATTCTGTATGATTCTGAGTGATTCTATTGATTCTGAGTGATTCCGATG